TACATATATATATATATATATATATATATATAGATATAGATATAGATATATTTATAGCTCATCATCAAGACATTTTCTCTTCTAAATGATGATATTTGTCAGAATTGTAGCACATCTCTCTCTTTTTTCCATAAACAGAGATGCTGTTGTGTGTTTAGACTGAAAGTTTCTAGTGTGTGTATATGAATTATATATACGTTTTTCCCGTGTTTAATCCAGACAGGTTATTTTAGTATTAAAATAATACTAAAATATTTTATTTTATTTTATTTTTATGTCAAAAATTTCAGGTTTTACTATCCTTGTGGGGACCAAATGTCCCCTTTTTAACTTGTAGCTGAAACAAGTACACACACACACACACACACACACAGATGAGACATTGAGCTCTCGAGGTCATCGACTGTATGATTTATATGTCCAGACAGCACTGAACTAATGACCAGAGTGGCGTCCGAACACGACGTGCATCTTTCATTTAGCAAATAAGATGAAGGCATTTAGGTATTAACCTGAAGATCGCAGATTTCCCAGCATTCAACAATCTCACACACACACTGAGCGGGGCTCCATGGTGTCTGTCTGGCCGATTTCCCAGAATGCTGCTTCTCCTTGTTTCATAAACCTCTTCTTTCTCTCTATCTGTCTGTCTATCCATCTCTTTCTTTTGTCTACCTCAGTTCATTGCTTCATTCTGCTGATTTGATACACATGCCATTTTTGGATATATTTGTGCACGTATATACTGTATATATTTGCAAACTTATAGTTTATTCTTTAGTTAATGCATTTTGCAATAGAGAATTAATTAAGAACAGTCTTGCTCCGTTTTTCCCGTGTTTAATCCAGACAGCATATGGTCTGGTGCTGTAATTCTCTATTAAACCTATTGTTGAAGAAGCTTTATGCTGACTGGGCCTATAACGTGTGTGTTTGAGACATGCTCCATCTGTAGGCCTCGCTCAGTAGTTCAGATGATCAGTCCTGAACCTGAGAGCTGCTGCTTCATATCACCACACTCATCCAGATCCAGAAAGCACTAGCTGAGCTTCTGCAGGGAAAACCAGAAACAAGAGAAGAACAAAAAAACAAAAGCACATCAGTTTATGACAAAGACCAGACTGGTTTTGTGTAGCCAGACTTTTGGCTAACAGCATAAAGCCGTATTCAGGCCAGGAACCACCTACTTAGGAAGAGACTGTCTCTCATCTCATCTCTTTCATCTGTTATCTGTTTCTCTGTTATTTATTTTCTTCTTCTTTTCTCAGCTGTTCGAACGGAAAAGTTCTCAGTGAAGCTTTGTTTTTAAAAAACAACTAGAGGTCAACTTCCTCTTTAAGAACAGGGAGACTTCCTCTGATTGGATGAAACTTTAAAGACTGATTCCAGATCAGCTGTGAGCTTAGGTTTCACTTTGTTGGTTTGTTCTAATGGGCTGCAAAAAGCAGAAGAATTGGACGGTTGTTGAACACTTTCACCCTTTGTGTGTGTGTGTGTGTGTGTGTGTGTGTGCGTTTTCACGTTTATCTGTTTGTAAAGAACTGAGAGGTTTAATAAAGCTCAACAGCAGTAGAAAAATGCTTTAAATACCATAATTGAATGAGAAATATACTATCTTCTGTATGTGTTTGTTCAATCGTGCTTTAAAACTCTCGATCGCTATGCGAGACACAACTGGACTCCTTCAGCATTGACTGACTGACTTGAATGCTTTCTGCTCTATAGGGTTTTATTCACACGCTGCGTGCCGGCATTCCTTATTCAGCCCAGAAACTCAGCGATGAATACTAAACACATTCACACTCGTTTCATTCATGCATTCACTCATTTTCTCACTGTCAGTCTTTCTGTCTGGTCTAAACACGTCAGTTCAGTTACCACAGAGAAACAGCAGATCCTAACTTAGACTTTGTGAAAACATTTTGTAGTACCTGTATGAGATAGATAAATACAACATTTTATAAATGTTAAATATTTTATACATTTTACAAATATTTACATTTTAACCATCAAATATATGAATTTTATGTAATATCTATATATTACTTATATATTTATATATTAATATGTAATGTATTATATATTAATGTTTTTATTTATTTAAATGTATTTATATATTATAAATAATTTTCTAAATTTGAGAAAACAAATTTTCAATAAATGTATATATCAAATATACAGATCAGTGTTTTGAAAGTGTTGCATAACCGTAGTATTTACGCTCTTCAGACAGTCAAACACCACATGACTTGCTCATTTATCTGGAAAGTATTTGACATTTTTCTCCTTTTAAAGAGAACCACTTAGGATCCATATACACTCTGGTATTCAAATACAGTAAAATTCATTCAACCAAGTAAAATGGACAGTGAGCTGTTTGTGTAGTGAGATTGCACTGATATGAACGGTCTGCTGATGTTTAATGCTGTCTGACTCGGTCTGTGTAATAAACAGGATATTGAGTCTAATCTGTCATTACGACAGATCCGACCGTCTGACATTCACTACAGGTGTCCAAGTGTTTCACAGACAGCAGCTGAGACTCGACTCAAACTTATTACAAGCATTAATGTTACAGGAATCAATCAGGAATGTTCTGGGTTCAGTCTGTGACATTTTGTCGATTCTAATATAGACAGAAAATAATTTAGACAAGCAAAAATCACATTTACAATGATGCACAATAAGTGATTATATAGCGGATTACCATGTTTATTGTTACAAAATTATAATTTTTTTAACATCAGCATCTTCACTTATATTAAAATAAATAATAAACAGATGCTTTTAGCTAAAGTGACTTACAAATAAAGAATATGTATAGTGCGTATCTTATATTAAAATAAATAATAAAAAAATTATTTAACTTATAATTTATACGTTTCAGAAAGTAATTATATAAAATAATAACTATTGACTTATATTAAAATAAATAATCAAATAAAATAATATAAAATATAAATAAATATTATAAAATAAAAATGTAAAATTTATATACATATTGATAATAATTCATATAAATTGTAATTTCTAACAATTATTACTTAATAATAGCAAAATAAATAATGTAATTTAATAAATGTAATATTTAATGCAAATAATTATTAATTATTTGTAATTATGAATGATTATTAATAATATGAATATAAATAATATAAAATAAATAATCAAATAAAATTATATAATTTAATGACATTATTTATATTTATCATTTAGCCTTTAACCAAAGTGACTTACAAATACTGAATATATATAGAGTAATATTTATGTTCTGTCTGCATCTGTTTATCTGTCTGTCGCTCTGTCAGGATATTATGTTATAGGTCTTCGGTCACTTTTGACCAAAAAATTTTACATTTTGAAATTTTAAAAATTGTAGCTTCATTGGAATCGTACGAAACTTGGTGACTTTTATGGCACTTGGTATGTGAACACACAAAAAAATTGAGGGCATGATTCGAAAAAGCTAAGTGTTACACTCATGGTCTTCGGTCAAAAATGACCTACCATAGGAAGTGAATGGGAAATGGGAAAAAATTGTGAAAATACAGAACATTTTTGTGTGCACAATCTACAAATCCCCCACGATGCAGAAAAAAATTGCACAGCAATGAAGGGGTGAAACTCTAAAACATCTAGAGTGCAAAATCAACACACCCACTCACACACGCACACACACACACACACACACACTCTCACTCACACACTCACTCACTCACTCACTCACTCTC